CCCCCTCCCCCCCTTCCCCCCCCGGTTTAGATCTGACAACACCTGCACTGTGATTGGATGTTCCCGGGCTTTCTTCATGTCGACCAGATGCCCATGTTTTTACGGTCTTCTCGACTTGATGATATTACAGCTAGTGAATAGGTTCTTTTGTTCAACATAATGGAAGTGAGCTACAAAATAGTAAGTATCGTGGAATACTATCTGTCCTCTCAATAAATCCTTCCCTGAGCCCCTTCGATCTAAAACCAACCTACACCCAAAATCCCTCTTTCTGAATGTGTATGACTAGCATTGCACATTAGACACAATACCATACTCTACCGCTAACTCAGAGCAAAAGTCAAGATGTCTATTCTGGCCTAGGGATATCCAGGTGAAGCCATGGAAATAGCTGTTTACGGCATGCGAGATTGGAATGTAGGTGGAACAGCAACCTACTTACTACAGGGTAGTGTAAGTCCTCAGGATTGAGAGCACCACTCTCTTCATTCAGTCCTCTAGGACTCTCTCCAGTTGAGATAAAATCAGGTAGTGTTCTCGACAGACAAATTGTTTTAGCCCATCATAAGCAGACTAAAAAGAAATGACAGCTGTGTCATTGTGTTTCCAAAGATTTAAGAAGAGGAGTCTTGTGGGCAAATCACGGCCATCTCTGGTAAAAGGCAAGAAATGGGTTCTGCACTAACTTGTCCCACTCCTCGGGTGTGTCTCTGCCAATTGACTTATATAGTACCCTCCTACTGTTTTCGGCTGCCGGAACACGGAACGGCCGGTGTTCGAAACTTGCCTATCGATTTATTATTTTTGGGGACGCATATTATTTTGGATCTGGATTTGGATCTGGACGTAATTGAGCTTCACTGCGAGATCATCTAACCAGACCTTTAGAGCTTTACAAAATGTCATCTGCTGCCTGTATCTTCTGCAAGATCATCAAGGGTATGTCAACGATTTACACTATCTAACTAGACATCTCTCAAGATTCAGTTTGCCACGTCATAACATGGGTTGACTGACAATACCTGGGTGGCCGTAGGAGAGATCCCTTCGATGAAACTCTTTGAGAGCGAAAAGGTCCTCGCTTTCATCGATATCCAGCCACTGAGCCGTGGCCATGCGGTGCGTATTATTCCCTACGATTCTTCCCCGCATCCGGCGTGTTCCTTGTGGGTGCCAGTGAAGTCATCCCTACCACGGCGATAGCCTCAGCCAGCAATTGAGACCAAACGAGACTAGACGAAAAAAAAATTTCAAAAAAAGAAAACCAAACTGACAACATGCACAGCTTGTCATTCCCAAGTTCCACGGCGTAAAGCTGACCGATATCCCCGACGAGGACCTGCTCGAGATCTTGGTAAGTCGAGGAGAGAACAACCCCGGACGACGAAGAGGGTGAGGAGGAAGGTTAATGTTTTCAATCTCTGATTGAAATCGATGACATCTCTACGAGGACCTTGGAGGCGATTCCACAAGGTCCCTCCGAGACCCGGAACTGGATTGGCGAACAGGGACGTAGCTAACCAAGATGTACGCTCACAGCCCGTCGCGAAGAGGATTGCCAAGGCCAGCGGCGCCGAGGATTTCAATATCCTGCAGAACAATGGACGCATTGCGCACCAAGTCGTTGACCATGTGGGTTTCAGAGGATTTTTCTTTTAGGTGTGATGGTGCTAACCTGTATTCTCGAATAGGTCCACTTCCACATGGTATGCTCTATTATCTTTCGAAGATGTGGCTCGATGCTAGGAACTGTCTTCGGAACTTACACTAACAAGACTATAGATCCCCAAGCCCAACGAGAAGGAGGGTCTGACTATTGGCTGGCCTTGCCAGGAGGGGGATATGGCCAAGCTCAAGGCTCTTCACGAGGAGATCAAGTCGAAAATGTAAACGGCTTTGGTTGTAGCCAATTCGATAACAAGAAAACCCGAGTTATTTCCAATTGGTTGCTGATTTAGAGCATAGCTGTAAACCGTACACGTTCTTCGATCGAACGAAGAAGCGTAATGTGAATTAGATCAGATGGAGTTGCCAGCAGCTCTGAAGTAGGCAGTCGGCTGGAATTACTCGGATTTTCATGCCGTTGAATGGACGTCAAAATAGTCATATCTCCTCTAGTTAACAGGAACCAAGTCTGTATGCTACAAACATGCAAAATCAAGACTCTAAGGATCTAGCAGGTAAGCATAAAAACCAACATTAGAAGCACCGCCCAAATCATGTACCCTGCTCGGCTCATGCCGACGTGCTCTCTGCCTCCTTCTTCGGGACAGGATAGAAGTTAATCGTCCCGTCGCTCTGAACGACATTGACTCTGTCGTAGAGCGAGCGAGCACGGACATATGGGTCAAGAACCCAGTAATGCGTACGCAGCTGCTCAATCAAGTCCTTCCGCTTCTCCTCGGCAACAGAGGCAGCGCCAGTCTCCTTCTTGGAGCTGGCGCAGATCCACTCAACGGTGGTATCCTGGATCTCCTTGGCGAGCTTTTGGCGCTCGGCCATCAAGGTCTCTCGGGTCTCCTTGTCGGCCATCTTGGGGTTCTCGTCCTCCGAGACCTCGACGTATTTGTATTCCCAGTCTTCATCGCCTTCGAGCTCCTTCATGATTTGACTGGGGTGGATGTATTTTTCGAGATCCTGGCGGTTCTTTGTGAAGTGGATCTTCGAGGCGACGACTGGGTCGAGCCAGCCCTTGATCACGGTCCAGATGCCTGGTTTATCGTTAGAACGGGGAAGTTTCGTACGGGAGACTGGGATCTGGGAGACAGACTTGAGAATACCCAAGGGGCCTTGTGGATGAGCACTGCTCCGAGACACTCGGGATAGTTGGCTTCAAAGCACTTGATCATGAATTTCACGGGGGTGTAGTCCTGGGAGATATTGGTATATAGCGTGGACGACGTTGAGACGAAAAGCTTACCATGTTGGCCATCCCGAAGTCCGTCATGTCAAAGATGATAGTCTGCAAGAGTCAATTACCGAGACACAATCCTCGCACTAGAGTACTTACCGCAGTCTCGATCGGAGGCACAAGCAATAAACGTGCAGTCTCAATGGTATAAACAGTGAACCGCTCCAACCCTTCATTGTCCTGATCGCCAGCCTTGTGCAGGCGTACACGAACAACGCAGATGGGCCGACCACCGCGGTCAAGGCCGTGTAGGAAACTCTTACCCATACGCATCTGCGCGAGGAAGTCATTACCCTTCTTCTTTTCCTTGGGATCAGAGCCCTGCGACATCTTCACAGCCGACGCCTCGCCGTTGAACATGATATCGTCATCGACATGCATTTCCAGCAGTCGCCAGCGCATCGTGGAAATCAACATAACAAGCGCCTTCTTAGTGTCCCACTTGCGCGCACGCAGGAATCGTAGAAGCAACGAGTCTGGATTATCGCCCTTCACCATGCTCCAGAACGCTGTCCGGATCTCCTCGGGCTTCATGTCCTCCAGCGCCTGTTTGAACTCCTTGGACTGGCCGTATTTGTCGTCGCTGTCGATGACACTGATGGAAGATACACTGGAAGCGACACCACTACTGGAACCGCTCTTCGTGTCTTCGTTGTCGGTACGGCTCCAGATTCCCCATCGACTCTTGGACTTCCTCTTTTCCTGGATTGGGGTGGGTGTTGCGGCATCGCTGGAGGCGGTGGACGGGGGGGTTTCAAGTCCTTCGAGTGTGAGGCCGAATACTTTGAGTGCAAGAACCCAGAATTCCTTCAGCTTGATTTCTTGCTCGGGAGTGAGGTTCCCGAGTGCTCCGGGGGCAGGTTCGGCAGGCATCGTCGCGAGGATATCGAGTCCTCCGAGGGAGGGTTTTTGAGGGAAATTGGGCTGCGAAGTGATTATGTCTTTGGAATTGAAGTATTTCTCCTGGATCCAAGCGCCTCCTCCAACGACAGCGAGTGTAAATGTAAGGGTCCAAAAGGATGAAGCTTTCTGTGGTTCTGAGTGTGTGGAGAATGGTCGCGCGAATGGATACCGAGCGACAGGGTACTTGGTTGAAGGATGGAGACGACGTAGGATTATACCACGCATAAGCAGTATAAATTCAAAAGATATGGGTGATCTGAGTGAGTACTAGGTCTTAACTCTGGGAGGAAGGAGGGGAGAAAATGTGACAGCGAAACCAAGAATATGATGGTGCGGGGAAGATCATATCCTAAAATGGGTTTTGTAGTTTGAAAGATTAAAGAAATGTAAGGTATCAAGTTTCTATTTACTTCGAGTCCATCTGTTATGAACGTACTAGACACTCCAGTTCTCATCTCAACGTTGCAAGGACAAAAGTATCGCGTGCGAGATTTTCGGGGAGATCAACAATCCCAATCACAACCCACTCAACATCACTCGGACAACCTACTGTTTAGCAGTAAACTCCTATTATCGTTGGCACACTATCTCGTCAAAACTCCGATCTCATTCTCAACCATATCATAGATATGGACGCACCTCGATCATCCTCGCGCCCGAGACCTTCATCCAGGCCCACAACCCCTCTACGTCCCAGCTCGCGATCTTCATTACGGGAGGCCCACGGATATGGGAATAGTATTGGAAATGCAGGATACACACAACCCGCCATCAATGCTTTGGAGCCGCAGTTCGCCGAGCTGGCTGATTCGATGGCAGATCTCGAGGCCAACTTCATGCACTTGCAGCTGATGCACGAGAGCCTGACGCGCTTCAGTGAGAGCTTTGCCAGTTTCCTCTACGGATTGAATATGAATGCGTTCTGTGTGGACTTCCCAGAGGTATGATAGCAGACGCATCGCCGACAGTGGAGGCAGTGGTGATAGTGTGCGACAGGGTTGCTGATTCGTCCAATTTAGGCTCCGATTCCAGACTCGTTCAAAAAGGCTAAGCAGGATGAAGAACAAAAGGGTATGTCGAGGGTTCTCCGTGGGAGCTACTTAAGTGTGGTGAATCGGATTCGCTAACAGCTATCCAGAAGCGGAATCAGAACCAACACGACCGATTGATGAAGGCGAGATGACATTTATGTGAGTATTGAGAGTGATGCGACAAATCCGACGTAACCGAACACTTGAACTAATGAGCTCTTGAGTTACAGGACTACGGATACGACTTTTGTTGAGAATCCCCCGAGCACCACCACCACCACAACCTCCTCTAGACTTACGTCCAAGTATGCTGCGGGCTCACGGGTATCTTCTCGTGGCATTGCTCGTGGTGCAGCAACCAGCCGGTATACCACACGAGGCACTGCGCGCGGTGCTCGTCCCAGCGCACTCCCTCGGGGTAGGGGGACTGGGACTCGTTAAAAAGCCGGATGTCTGGGTCCATAAAATGACCGGATTATGGGCAAGCATCTCATGTTGCATGCCTGACTATCGGTATCAGAGCTGGGCCTTTACCCATAGCTTTCACCGGCAGTGGGCTAGCGCATCTGTCTCCATGATTCCCTAGGAATGACCATTGAATGAAATTATAACTACACTATCAGAGGTGATCAAAAATGAAAATCAAACCCTATAGACTTAAATACTTAATGAAGATATCTCAACACCAAAAAAAAAAACAAAAAAACAATGGCCTGCTTCTGCCTTCTGCCATTGAAGCCGTCCGATCTCTTATCCGGCGGTAAATCGGGGTCAGACGAAAAACCACCGCCCGATGGCAAATCAACCTCCCCACGACTACTTTTGAAAATCCACAGGGAAGCTTGACCCCATTCGGTGGATAATAGACCTTATCTTTATACATATTGTCGTTGAATAAGGTCCTATTATCTGAACTTTGGTTGTGAAGTCGAATCAGGTCATTCGCAACCCTCTGTGGACTGTATAGCTTCCTTCTGTTCGTCTGCTATTGTCCCTATTCACTTGCCTTCGTAAGTTCTATTGCTCGGTTACTCTCTGATCGATCATGTCATTGATGTCTGTTGATTATACAGTGCAATGCTGGCCCTATTCGGGAGGAGTCCTTGAGGCTGTACCTGGTCTCTTTATTACCAGCCTTTCTCTCTCCCTTGAATTCTCTCTTTCAACTTCCTCTTCTTGTCTCCACGTGGGTAGAAGTCTGGAACTTCTTTAAACGTGTTTTTACTACCTTTTTTTGTGTCGTGCTTCTGAATAACCCTAACTTTCTCCCTTCCACCTCATCTCTTTCTCTCTCTTCCCAACCATACTCATGTCGCTCACTATGGCAACCCTCGATTCTGTCCAGCTTCTTTCTGAAGCAGCTTTTGGCTGTGGTAAGAATTGGCAATTGCCGTGACCCATTCATGCCCAGCTGACCTCCCGCTAGTACATCTTGCGGCTATTCTCTCCAAGGACGAGAAGACTGCTGGCCAGTTCAGAGAGGAATTCTGCAGACAATACAAATTGCTAGCTCCGTTCTCAAAGACAGATACGGTAGCTGTTCCAACTACCGGTCTCCGAACGGTGGAGTCCCTCAAGCCGAAGTATCACTGCTTGAGTTGCACAGAAATATGCCTGGGATCGAAGCGTGCAGAACATACTGCAGCGACTGGGCATGCATTTTGTAAGCCAATGGATTCTGACTGATCAAGCTGTTTCATACTCACACAATGGCAGATCTTGAGTCTCGCAACCGCTTTGTCTTCTGTGAGAAGTGTGTCGATTTCATATATGACCACACTTTGGACAGACTTCGTGGCCCTTCTGGCAAGTTTGAAGCCATTGGTGAGTCTCGTGCAATTCCAACAAATCCAATTCACGAACAAATATTAACATCTGGTAGATGGGCGATCCATTTGGGCCGAAGACTCGGCCTCTGAGGTCTATGTCAAGAACAATGCCCACAAGAACCCATGCACTATCCGCGGCGCTCGTGGTGTCTGGAACATGGGCCAAACATGCTACCAATCTTCTATCTTGCAGGCCCTGCTGCATGACCCTAGCCTCACTGCCTATTTCCTTGGAGGTGGACATGATGTCCACACATGCAGAATCAAGGACTGTCTTGCCTGCGCGACAGCTGAAGTTTTTATGGAATTCAACAGCGCCGATAAGACCGAAGCAGTCTCCGCGGCCGTGCTTCTTCACCATGGTTGGCAGAAATCAAAGGTACGCTGAGGTCCAACTCAAACAACCGAACCGGCTAACTAGTCTACAGGAAATGCGTGGATACCGCCAGCAAGACGCCCACGAATACTTCCAATTCCTCGTGAATGAACTACACTCATCCACCCCCGGACACGTGGAGAGCTACGACAAGCCATGTAACTGCTTCTTCCATCAGATGTTCTACGGCGAACTGCGCAGTAGCGTCATGTGCCACAAATGCGGCCAAACCACAAACACCCACGATCCCATAGCTGATCTGAGTCTCGATGTCCAGCTTCAGCACAAGAAGCGCAAGCTCGGTCGCTCTACTTCTTCTACTACTGGAACCCTCCTCGGCTGTCTGGACAGCTTCACTGCCGCTGAAGATCTCCACGCCGACGCTGCTTACCACTGTGAGAAGTGTGGTAACACTCCCCAGCGGGCTTCGAAGCGTTTGCAGATCCGCAAACTCCCCGTCATGCTCTGCATGCAGCTGAAGGTTCGTTTGACTTGCTGACTGCCTTGAAATTAGACTCTTTGCTCACATTCGTATAGCGTTATGAACACTCTTCCAACTCATCTGAGAAAATGAACGGTCATATCGACTTCCCTTTGTCTGTGAACATGCTGCCGTACACTGTCAGAAAGGACACCATTCCCGTCGATATGTCGAATTATATGTACGACCTGTCCACCGTCATTGTCCACCAAGGAACAATGGATTCTGGACATTACTATGCCTACTCCCGTATTGACAACGACAAGGTTTGTTCTATCAAATAGCATTTGTCCCCTCTGTGTCTGTTCTTTGCTGATGAGTTGCCTTAATAGTGGGTCCTGACGGATGACAACAAGGTCACCATCGCTGGTGTGGCAGAAGTCCTCCGCCAGGATGCCTATCTCCTATTCTACAGCGCCCGTCATGTCCGAACCGACAAGAGGAAAAAGTAGATCCCTTCTGCACAGAACAGACCACCTGATAGGCTTTCAATACAATTAATAAGTTTCATACATCGGTAGTCACTTGGGTTCCTTCGCATGTACTAGTACTCTGCACTACGCTGTACTTTTATAGACTTGGACTGAAGTATCTTTGTAGGCTAAGCTAGCAGAGGACCTTCGGAGCCTTGAGAGACCCACGGGATATCAGCTAATCTTGGTTAGTGGGGACACACTTTAATTTGTGTACATTTCTTTCAGCTTCTAGCGCGGTTTCTTCAATGCTGCGATTGAAGCTGATAACCACAAATTCTACCAGTTCGAATAGCTTGAAGACCACGTCAGTCAATCGCTTTACTCCCTCTATCACAATCGAATTACACCCCAAGGCAGACTACTTGTGGCCTCCAATCAACGTTCTCTAGAATAAAATGAGCAGGTAGTGTTTGAGAATGGCGTAACAAAGCCGGTAGTGCCCAAAGACAAGACCAGAGACATAAAAAGGCGAGTGAAGTGCGTTGAATTTCGACTGAATGAAGACAAGACTTGAGGTCAGTATAAGGAGTGGCTCTAGTATCCTTTCGTCATACCGAATGTTGATATTCAAAGATGAAAGTAGAAGGATTCTATTTCCAGCTGCGAGCAGACAACTGAAATATGGCAAGTAAACAGTCAACTTGGTCACATGGAAAGACACCCTTCGATTTCTTTATGAACTGATAATTCATGGCCTTTTCAACCCCATGTTTCTTTGGACATCCACACTCGGCCCGATGAGAAGACACCAGAGCCGCGCTTATCCCGATACCAGGTATCACCATCAAGGATCAGCTGACCATTGCACCGACCGAGCATACTTGTTGCTCCTGATTCCGAGCATGAATTTGCAGAACCTCATTTCGCAGTAGCTAGTCAACCTAACCATCAAGTTCCAGCTCACTTCGGATATTTGGATGGCATGGCTAAATTGTATGCCCTCAATGTTTGCTTGGGGGGTTTTATCGAGAGCAGTTGGCTGGTGGAAACGGGGGGGTGAAATTTATTGAAGATATTGGAGAAAGAAATATAGAAATCCTGAGGTTCTGCCTCAGAAGATTTGAACTTGCAAGGTGACAAGAGATGAGGGGATGTGAAGGAGTTTTTATTCTCTGCACACGACCAAGGCTAGCTAAATCACCATTGACAACCGAGGCATATGTCTCAAAACAAGGTTACCCCAACCTGCAAGGTATCAGTGAATTAGAATGATCGGCTATCATATATGGTCTGGGCCAGCTGTTCCATGACTGTGGGGAAGAAGACACCCACCGATCTTTGGGAACGGAGGGAGAAATCGACAGAAGGACTCCGTGCCAAGAGCAGGAGAGTCTTTTTGGTTGTATATGATAGCTGCTAATAATTGACCATATTAATCGGGCACGTGTATTCAAAAGAGGCCAATGTGATCTTGCTGTCGCATGAATTGGGGACTTTGTGCACATCACCGGCCACGACAGGTGGTAACATTGGATTGGCAATAACAGCCCCAATTCTTCGCAAATTTGGATTTTACTGTGAGATCATTCTGATTTGAGCCAGACAATCTGTCAATGGCAACCTTCAAGCAGAGAAGTCGGGTATAGACATAGCCTTGAAAGTATTTGAAGTAGGAGACGTAGCCTGAGGCACCGAGACGTGGTGATCGCCCGGAAGTCACATGATCCACCAAAAAAGCTAGCGCAACTCAAGCGAGTTGGCCCGTGCCCTATTCCCCATTGGGGCAGCACACAACGCAAATTCCAACCCTAACTCTTGTCTCCGTTCTTAACGCCCAACGCCAGCGACCCTCGTCCCGTCAACAACCCCGTCAACTCCCAGGTCTCGCCTTTAAAACCTCAAGATGACTCACGAGAGCGTTTGGTACAGCCGGCCCCGCAAGTAAGTCGAAACCGCACGACGCACACACACCAGGCACTAGATCAAAAAAAAGAACGACCAGGCTAACCATCATTTCGATAGGTACGGCAAGGGCTCCCGCCAATGGTGTGTTTACCCTACTAAAATCCCCCGATGAACGATCCAGTCGACACTGAGAAAGAAACTTGGAGGAGGCCTGGATGGAATTGAAGATCAACACAAAAGGAACGGGCTTGCTAATAGTTGTGCGCCTTCAGCCGTGTCTGCTCCCACCGCGCCGGTCTGATCCGCAAGTACGGCGTAAGGAGAAACCGATCCCTCGAGCATAATGCATATTGCAAAGTGTGACGTGAAATGGACTTGTGTGGCTAATACGGATGGTTTTTAGATGGATATCTGCCGTCAGTGCTTCCGTGAGAAGTCCGCCGACATCGGTTTCACCAAGGTTCGTTTTCAATTTCTCGCTCGACAGTCCTTTCCGATCCCCATTGATACACCACACAACCACATTCTCCGACATCAAAAATCCAATCGACAATCGACAAATCTGCCACCACAACCACCACTGCCACACATTCACACTGCAGAAATCACAACACTAACCGCAAGTTTCTCAACCTACAGTACCGCTAAGCGAGCAAAAAAATTGACTCCCTCCTCTCGAACCGTTCGCATCCACGAAATCCATCTACGCACCCAGCTCGACTACGGTAGCGTCCAGTGGAGCAATGTTTCAGACGAGCTCAAAAATGGCGTCTTTGATGTTTTTGTGAATGGAAGAATAGACATCGGGCCTGCGTGTCCGGTGTTTCGGGATTGCGAATCACATTAGATCTTGGCTCCGAGGGGAGGATTTGGGGTTGTTGCATGGAGTGTCTTGAGAAACGAGGATTTATGTCATTTCCCTCATCCTGGTTTTTTTCTTAACAATTTCAATGACGGGATTTTTTCTCTGGGAATCATCTCTGCTCCGGCTTGCCGTACAACTTGCTGGTGATCTGGATGCGAATGGGCGTGCTTTCGCTCGTCTCTCCCTGTCCCTGGATTTTGTGTAGCTTTTTGATGTTCTAGCTGGGTGAGCCTCTCGAGGTGCACCAACTGTCCATAAGTCCGCGAGTGCTTCGTAGCGGCTTCTATGTCGGCGGACTGGAAATACCTTGTTCCCTCGGCTTGTTAAGCACGTCATGGGGCCTCGGTGGCACATGTGTTGTAAGGCACTACATAGCGCCAAGACAATCAATTTTAGGCAACAGGATCTGCACTTTGATCAATGAAGCTGATATGTTCGTAAGAGCTTGATTTCAACAGGGTGAGCATGTGGTATCAAAGTACGGAGGACCAAGACTCCGGGAACGCTACCCGACCTTGTGTATAAAATGCGGTTTAGCGGCTGTACTTTTAGCTTGAGAGTGCTCTTGGTCAATAATCCCTGACTACTTTGAACGTTAGACCATATTCGAGTCCGTGCCCCAGTCCTACACCTGAGCTGCTCACACGGGATCTAGAGGTACTGTTCATATCATGCTCATTGGTCGCCGTTTTTAAATCATGACCCCTGGGGAACAGCTAGATTAGAGCTGGGGTGCGGATAGCAGTTGTGCCGAACTTCCGTGTACTCACCAGGGCTTTCTCAACTTGGCAATCAATTTCTTTTTGGAGGTGTGCACATCCAATGTTTGATATCGGTGAAAGCTTGAAGAATTCCTTGGATCGTCCAGGAGCAAAGGTCTATGTTGTGAGGTTTGCATTCCAAGAGCTAAGGGTACTTGGATTGGGTTCACAAGCGGTCAGAATTCGTATGCAACATTTAGAGTAAGAGCTATTGAATTCGACATGAATGAAAATCCTAGGCATGCAGTGTGGCGCCAGGTCACACCATCTGATCATAACCGGGTACAGCCGCCATGGATGGTATCTAGAAAACCACAGCGTTAGACCCCAATCACGCTCCCGAGTCAGACTCATAGAGCAGCAGTATAAGGTTACCTGGTTTTACCAGATGAACAAGCATGAGTCACATGGATAGCTCATAGCTCATGTCCTGGTCAAACACGAGGAGGACGGAGACGTAAACTCCACTTCGCAAGGGTGGATGGACTTGCTAGTGGACTCGGAGCTCGGAAGTAAGGCGGAGTTTGCATTTCCGGCATAGAACTCATCTCGACTGATTACCAATTATTTAACGCAGCTCATTCAACAGAGGGACGTGCAGGTGCGTGGACATAAGATTTCAGCCTTTTTTCAAGTCCCACCGGATGCTCACGGATGCTGATTCACCAATCGCCAAGATCGTGCACGGGCTCGGCCTTGGCCTTGGCTCTGACTTTGATCAGTGGCCAGGTGCTCATATATCACTTTGCTACTGGGAGGAGATGGGTTATTGTGGCGCATCTGTAGATTAGAAGGCGTTCGTGGTCCTTCGTACGGAGTATAGTATAGTGGACTGGTGCACGAAGTATGGAGAACGGAGTACAGCGGGGCGCTTGGCGAGGGATGTTCGTATGTCAATTTGGACTCCGTACATACTTGGACCAGCGTTGTTGGGCCACATGACGATATATGCATCGGGTACATGTTGATACGTATTAGTGGCGTGGATCGAGCAGTCTTTCCCAACATGGTGATGTTCTACTATGTCATGATAGGTGCCGATTTTGTGTATCGGAGTTTTGCATTCGGATCATCACGGAGACAAGCGAGCTACTAGAGGCAACTACCTCAGTCTCCCCTCTTTGGGTAATAAAGCAAGATGCCGGATTTCCGCTTGATTTTGATGCCTACTGCCCTGTTTTCGTATATTCGGGTGAGAGTCCGGCATTCAGTTTCTATCATGCTATACCATCCCCACTACGACGAGACTAGGCCACAAAAGCAGCTCGGAAATCCAAGTGAGGGAGGCCGAGACAGGGATTCTGGAGTATGGAAGCACCCGACAAGGAAGGAAGTACATACACAAGTATGTTGGCTCTCGGTGATTGGAGGAACAGATTCCTCTGATGATCATCTGCTTCAACTGCAACGGCGCTAGACTGGTACCTTGTAATCAAGCTGGAAGTCAACCTGAAATAGTCTGGAAGCCAAGTCGGGCTGGCATATTATCATGGTCGTCCTATTCTCCATGACGTTGTATTCTATACATCGACGGGGTCAGAAAAGGCTGCTGAGAAGATCAGGCCAGTCACCGCCCAAATAAGGTAACGATCGACTACGTCATTGGCCCAGGCATTTATATCTCTGTACTCCGTCCTCCACACACCGCACACCAATATATGCGTATGGCATCAAATGCAGGTCTAGATACGTAGTACTCCGTACAGGACTTCGAATGGCAAATGCTCCCATTTTTGGGGTTCCATGTAGTCATAGTTCCTAACCTGAACTCGTGAAGTCACTAGAATCCACACTTCGAAGAGGCTCCCGAGACACCCGAGTGACAGGAAGAGCTAAATCTTTGGGGGAAGACATGTCAAGAACTCGGACTTCATATTCCATAATCCTCTTGATTTCGTGATACCTCTAATTCGTAAAATCTGAAAAATTTCACAGGAAGAATCTTAATCACATCAACTTACATGTAGGTAAAACAGAGACAAGTTAAACCCAAATTGGGCATATCAGCCCAGAGGGTCCCTAGTTCTTCCACGCACTTTTTTTCCCATTTCGGGAAATTCTCGAAAAGCAATGAAAATCGGCACCGGCGAGCTCCTTTTTCACTTTTTACATTTTTGGGGGGGGGTTTTTTTTTCTAATTAGCCTTATTGGCAGTGCCCCGGTGCTTCATTCCTTGCCCCGCCTGGACTTTATATACAGCATTCCCACCCGAAATCTCATACTTCAGCCCTACAGCTTTGATCTTCCAACTACAAATAATCGAACCATCTAGTTCGTCAAACCCTTCCAAGTAGTCCCGTCTAGACTTGAAGGAGTATAGAAAACAAGGATAAATACGGGCCCAGACCATTTTGACAGGTTCGCTACGTCACGATTCGATAGAGCTTCGACCTCAACTGGTTGGAGCTCTATTTCTCACGACCACTTGCAATCTTGCACACACAGCCCAACAGACTATTATTTCTACAGTATAACCAATTTTTTTCTTCCGATGCGGCCTAAAATAACTCGGGTCGCATTGGCGGCAACTTTTACTCTGTTTCTCGCATCCCTTGCGACCGCGCTTCCACATGGTGACGATGAATCAATGGACATGGAAATGGATATGAATGCGGGCACCGCTACCCCGCAACCTACAACCACTGTGATGCAGAATCACACCAATGGACCGATGAGCTATTTTGCGTATAGCAAGCACTCTAGCACCATCATAGCTCACATTATCCTCATGGTTCTAGGATGGTGCTTTGTTCTTCCGGTCGGTAAGTGACTCCCGTGTCGTTGTGCTCTGTATGCGAAGAAAACGTGAACGAGCAGAAACTAATATCTCGAAAAGCCGTTATGCTGAGCATTGCACGCTCATGGCTTGCGCTTCCGTCTCAGTTCCTCTTTCTGGCCTTCAACGTTCTCGGTGTCCTGCTTGGGGCTGTCTACAACAGCCAGACCCCAGACCTCTACGAGAACAATGTACACCACAAATTGGGTTGGGTCGCGACGTGCATTGTCACCGCTCAGGTCATCCTGGCTTTGCTCTTTGCCTACGCTGGCCGCGGCGAGTCGAATTCTACTGCGCCCTCATATGAGCACGCTGCGTTCTTCGCTGTCCCGACTGACGACCATGACCATGAGCGGGTTTGTCTCACCGACGCCATGCGCGAGCATCGCTGGTCTCGCGATAGTGGCCAGGGCACAGAGAGTAACTCGTCTATCCATAGCCCTGGATCGTCTTGTGGGTCGCCGACTGAATACGATGGATTCGAAAAGCCCGACGAACTGCCCGCAAGGACTCCCCCTCAACGCGGCTGGATTCATCGCACGGGCGTAGGTCGCTTCCTGTCCAAGACCGTCCCTGGTCTAATTCCCGGCCGGGTTCTCCACGTTCTGAATGTGGTGTATAACATCGTTGACCGTGTCATTCTGCCATTCGGATTTGTGGCCATTGCAACTGGGGCTGTGACGTACGGGGGTATCATGCGGAGTCGTGAGATCTTCAATGGGCTTGCACACTTCATCAAGGGTGGCATCTTTTTCTGGTACGGTATCCTGACACTTGGACGCTATGTTGGCTGCTGGGCAGATTTGGGTTGGGCCTGGAATAAGAAGCCCTCTGCGTCGATTGTTGGTTGGAAAGCCAAAGTTCCCTCGGGTGAAGCTACAGAGTCCTTCGTCATCTTCCTATATGGCGCCTCAAATGTTTTTCTCGAGCACCTCTCCGGTACGGGCAAGGCATGGTCTGCTACAGATCTCGAACACGTCTCGATTTCCGTGCTGTTCTTCGGCGGCGGTCTGGTATGATTTCGTCTCCTTGTTTGGGGCTCTTGAGAGGAATCTTGCTAACCTCAAAACAGGCCGGTATACTGTTCGAATCTACTTGTATCCGGGACTGGGTCAACACCACCATCCTCCAACCCCCTGCTCATGCTACCTCGGATGAAGCCTGGACGCCCCCGAGGTCGCAGGGTGTTTCATTGAACCCCATGCCAGCCCTAGTCATCATGTTGCTTGGCATGATGATGGGGTCGCACCACCAAGATAGTATGACATCTTCTATGGTCCACAAGCAGTGGGGTAACATGTTGGTTGGATTTGCGCTGGCGCGCGGGATGACCTATGTTATGTTGTACCTCAAGCCACCGACTTCGTACCTCCCGGCTCGTCCTCCGACCGAGATCATTGCTGCATTCTGCTTGATTTCAGGAGGGCTGATTTTCATGATGAGTGTAAGTGCCCAATACATTTACAAGCGTTTGTACGTCGCCCCAAGCGCATGACTAATGTTGATCCAGACCCGCAATGTGGTTCAAGCGATGGAGTACTACAAACTGGACGCAATGTTCACCTTCACTGTCGGACTGGGCTTCAGTGCTTTTATCATGGCTTATGAAATCTTAATGATTGCCATCAAGGCCTGGGCTGTGAAGCGCGCCCAGCGCTCACGGCCAGACTTCCGCTTCAAGTGAAAAATTCACGACCTGTTTCCTTTGATACCCCCCTTTACAATTCTGAGGTTTTTGTTTCATGCTGGAATATACGGAGTCCTTTTTTTTCATTATGAATTCTTCATGCGACATAATATTCCCTGCAGAGAAAGATACCCCGGGATGGACAGATTCCTTGGAAGCCCTCGGATATGATCTTTTGTGACGTTCGATAATGAATGGACTAATGTGGTATTAATGGTTGGTGGGATTGATTACTGGATATCCCAGTCTCCCAAATGATATATGCAGTACAGATGTTCTTATGAATGCAACTACTACTCTTTCAAACCACATTCGACCAGGTTGGGGGTCGATTCACGGGACTAGCAGCTTATTCCCGAGCCTCTTGTGTGCCGACTGCCAAGCACCCTTTGAAGCAGTGTAACCCCCCTCCTGCGATATCATTGTAGATGGGCAGAGGCCCTATTTTCATTCAAACGCGACATCCAAAGTCACTGCAAAGACCAGTGAGTGCTAGTTCTGGAGGGTCATTCCAAGGCCGAGAACAGATTAGTGAGGGGTCTACGGAGTCGGAGTCAAAAGTGTAAGAGCTTCAGGGTTAAGTGGGGTCAGAAGACAATTACGAAATTGAAGAACCTGTCTGATTGGAAGGAAATGTTATCAAATGAGATCAGCCTTACCCGGAGGTAAGTCAAAAGGAGCAGGTCCGAAAATGATGTACACATCCGATTTCACATTTATAAGCAGTCGGACCCTCAAGTCGACACCAACTTGGAAAAAAAACTTCATTCCAATATACCCCTCACTGCAAAATGGCTTCCAACCCTCCCGCTGCCTGCTGTGCCTCCGGTTTCAAGCATGAAGGCGCTCCCGTTGGCGAGATCAAAAATATCAACGGAGGTAAGATGCGAAAATCCTGAATTCCAGCCACCTGAAGCCCCGCAGAACCATCAGTGGTAACCAAACGACTCTCCAGTCAACACCTATATCGTCTACCCTAAAGATAACAAGACCCCCGAGAAGGCCATTGTGTTCCTGGCCGATATCTTCGGCATCTACATCAACGCTCAGCTCCTCGCTGACGAGTTCGCCAACAATGGCTACCTGACTCTCATTCCAGATCTGTTCCAGGGTGACCAGATCAGTCTCAGCGCCATGGAATCTGGCAAGGTCGATCTGCCTGCATGGCTTCCCAACCACCAGGCTTCGAACGTGGAGCCCGTTGTTGAGTCGACAATCAAGTACGCTCGTGAGACTCTCGGCGTCAAGAAGATCGGCGCTGTTGGATACTGCTTCGGCGGTAAGGTATGTACTTGTAGTCTGGATCTAAAGATCCAAACTCCAAAAAGATACCCTGCAAGCCCTGATGCTAACAATGTTGCTTTAGTACGTCTGCCGTAACCTCAAGCCCGGCCAGATTGATGTTGGTTTCACTGCGCACCCCTCGTTCATCACCCACGAGGAGCTTAGCGCCATTAAGGGCCCCTTTTCTATCGCTGCTGCTGGTAAGTTAATGTTGGATAGACACCCGTTTGAAAAAGCAGCATCAAAGGCTAATTTGGCGTGTGTCAGAGGTCGACTCGATCTTCACTACCCAGCTTCGTCATGAGTCTGAGGATATTCTCATCAAGACTGCCCTGCCGTGGCAGATCAACCTATTCAGCGGTGTCAATCACGGTTTCGCTGTGCGCGCTGATCTGAGCGACCCCAAGCAGAAGTGGGCCAAGGAGCAGGCATTCTGCCAGGCCATCGCCTGGTTTAACCAGCACCTGTAAATTAATTGGAGGACTCTGCATATATGAATAGCAAAAGAGTGATCAACAGCATGCTGTCCTCTCTGATGAAGAAACCACTGTAGCAGCGAATGCGGAGTAAATCGAGATAAATTGATCATCGCCACTGTCCCCCCAGGGCCCAGAAGTTGACGGTTGCGTGGTTGGTCTTTATCGCCGGGCGTAATTTCGCGAACAAGTCGCCTTAATGGTCCGCATGTCTCCCTCGACCTCCGTTCGAGTTTGATGTTCCATTTAAGTTGTTCTGGATCTTGAAATTCAAAGTTCTTTTTGTTTCTAGCTTTTTGTTTCTAGTTAGGACTTGCTATTTTCTTGTTTTTGATTCCCGTCAGGAATCACGTGCGCCTTGTGAGTTATCCCTGGGACCGGCCCAGCAGTTCGACCAGCGAGGGAAACAGAATCTAACGATTGATCTTTTCTTTCCAGTCATTAATTGTTTAATCTACCGGCTGATCCTTGAGTACCGTGTCAACTCTTCTTGACGGCTCCGACCGCGCATCCTCTCCTTCAGAGTCGCGGTGCATCCCGACTCAGCCCAACCCTACTCCGGCCGCCCTGAGTGGTTTCGTCACTATATTTATCTGAGAGTGACAGTCAACGAAGTCTCATCAATCACCAACTATGGCGACTCCCGCCGCTTTACCTCCGTTGCCTTTCAATCCGGGTCGGATACGAACCTACCTCCTCCGTTTACCGCTGTTCACCCGACTGGTGCTGCTAGTGATTCTCGCCTTCTGGCTGCTTGAATTCCAAACAATTTGGAGCGTTGTGCAATGGGGTGCTTTAATTCCGGAGGAGATTAACCTGGGCACTAGTATGTTTGATTCCCTGTGAGAAGAGCATATCGGACGCATGCTGACTTGGGGGTGTTACTAGTGTACCGACTCAACACTTATCCCATCATCCACACTGGCTTCTTCCATGCTTTCTTCAATGCTGTGGCGGTTACACCGCTGCTGGAGCGTTTTGAGGCCGAGCATGGCACTTTGACTGCTATTGCGCTGTTCATTGGACGTGAGTGCTGTGCTAAAACGCAACACTTGTGGCCATGTTGACTAATGTTGAATGATTTAGCTCTTTCAACTGTCCCTGCTGGACTCTACATCTTGGTTGAGAAGTTTGTTCTACACAGAAATACTTCGGTGGTCGGTGCAAGGTAAGCTTTTGGTCACCAGTTTCAATGTCTCTCGGTAACTGACCTGCAATTCAGTATCTGGGCTTTCCTGCTTCTCGGTTCGGAAGCCATTAAGACCTACAAGTCTCACCCCAACTTCAGGTATGATTCACTTGGGAACTCATTACTTCAATCTTACTAACGCCCTTCAGTCTTGGCCCGTACAAGATTCCCACCTGGACCTCACCCTTGTTCGGATGTGTCGTTGTATCTATCCTCATCTCGAACGTGAGCTTCCTCGGTCATCTCTGTGCGATTCTTGTCGGGTATCTCCGTGAGTTCCCTTCTTTGACTCCTCTTGTTTCACTGCTAATTGTCTTTAGTCGGCCTCGGATATCTCAAGGTGTTTGTGCCCCCTGAGAAGGTCCTCCGCTGGATCGAGGGCAAGCTGAACCTCCTGGGACGCCTACCCCATTATGTCTCCGTCGACCAAAAGACCTACGGTCGCTATGGAGTTCTTCCAACCACTAACCCCGCTGGCGCCAATGGCAACCAAACACCCATGAGTTACTTGGGATCTACCCAGCGCCTTGGAGCATGATTCCGGACTTTGACGCATTCTTCATTTCTCAACTTTTAATGTATATTTTCCACTATAGTTTTTTTTTTATTGTTGCAGACTCGAGGGGACATTGGATAATAGCATAGCGTGTGCATACTCACCTTTAATTTGCACTGTTGGTCTTTTTCGGTTGACGTAAATCCCACTTCTCCGCGCGCAAGCAACGGAACTCTCGATCTCCACTGTTGCTTGAAAGACTACAGTTCAGTCCAATCATTCCGCTCGTTTAACAGCTTCGCCTTCGCGGCAGGGAAATCCATCTCCCGATGGTCACTACTCAATGGCTTTGAAATGTGAGCAAGCTGGAATGCCCCCTGTCCTTCCTGACAGCAGCACCCCAACTAACAAGATGCAAGCTGCAATCCGCAATTTGGGGAATAACCCCCACCTCATCTTCGTTCGCCTCCCGAATCTCCTATCTTTCATCTGCATTATCGTCGGCGTTGTCTGGCTGCTTCTCCTGCCTCTGAATGAGTACTCCCGACAGACCTATATTTCCGAGAATGCGCTCCTGCCGGGCCAAGTCCATGCATATTTTACGGGCAGCGAGCAAAATATCTTCCGAGGATATAAGAAAGAACTGGAAGGATTGTTGAATGATGGACAAGCGAGAGGCGGCCAAAAAGAGGATGCGGAAGTGACAGCGGTGTAGGTTGGATGAACACGGCACAGGCTGAACTACTCGCTGATACTACAACAACAGAGTCTCGGACAAGCTGCAGTCAATCTTGCGAGCGGCGGGCCTCAAAGTTGCCACGCAAAAATACGAATACATCTCTGCTGGGATTGCGCATCGGGGAGAGAACACTTATGCTATTATCCATGCGCCGCGCGGTGATGCCACGGAGGCAATTGTGCTAGTCGCGCCATGGCTGACAGCTGACGACAAGTTGAACCTGAATGGCGTCACTCTTGCCCTGACATTGGCGAGATATTTCAAGAGTGAGTTTCAATGTTGTCCTCCTTAATTCGGGTTGCTGACAGTTGATCCTAGGATGGTCACTGTGGTCCAAAGATATCATCTTCCTGATTACCCCGGACAGTAAAACTGGAACTCAGGCTTGGATCGATGCCTACCATGACATGCATCCGGCATCGGTGCAACCGCTTCCTTTAAAGAGTGGAGCGTTGCAAGGAGCACTAGTCATCGAATACCCGTTAGATCACCGGTTCCAGACGCTCCATATTGTATATGACGGTGTCAATGGCCAACTACCCAACCTCGACCTGTTCAACACGGCTGTAGCCATTGCAGGCGGCCAGATGGGTATTGGGGCTAATCTACAGGAAATGTGGGGTCATGACGACAGCTACGAGCATCGTTTGCAGACCATGTTCCGCGGTATGACCAAGCAGGGTCTCGGGTATGCTACCGGCGCTCACAGCAGCTTTATGGCGTACCACATCGACGCCATCACCCTGCAGACCAAGGGCGAGGGATGGGAGGACGAAATGGCCCTAGGCCGGACGATTGAGTCTCTTTGCCGCAGCTTGAACAACTTGCTGGAGCACCTGCACCAGAGCTTTTTCTTCTACCTGCTCATGCAGTCCAATCGTTTTGTCAGCATTGGAACCTATTTGCCCAGCGCCATGCTGATCGCTGGAAACTTCACCATCATGGCAATTGCCCTCTGGATCCGCACCGGGTATTACCCCGAAAGCACGCCAATCGCCAAGCCCAAGGATGAGAAGCAGTGCACCGAAGAGAAGGCCAATACGATCAGCATCGCGGAACGACATCTCGCTCTACCGCTCTCGCTTGTTGTCGGACTTCATCTGCTCGGCCTTGTCCCGCTCTGGATTTTTAATAATGTCTTCCACCAGGTGAGCGCCGCCAGCCTACAGCCACTATTGTAATAGCTGCTAACACACCTATAGTATTTCACACTTACCACCTACATATTCATCATTGTTGACATCATCCTTCCCCTCTTCCTCGCCGCAATCCTCTCCAACAGTCTCGGTCTATCAAAGCCAATCATTCCCCAACAGTACCACCTTATAAAATCCTTCTCCCTTCTGCTACTAGGCCTCTCTCTCTCCGCCCTCGTCACGCTCAACTTCTCCCTTTCGCTCATGATCGGTCTGCTCTGCGCGCCACTTAGCTTCATCACTCGTCTGCAAGGCTCCGCGCCATTCCGCTTGACAACTTCCAGTCTCGGTCTGGTGCTTCTCAACTTTATTTCCCCGCCAACTGTTCTCCTCGGCGTTTGCTGGTACCTGGGGGTCTCCGTCGAGGCTGTCCTTACCCGGGCGGCTTTCGGTTGGGATGTTTGGGGTATGTGGACCCAGGTCGTTGTTTGGTGTGTGTGGTGGCCAGCTTGGTTGATTGGCTGTGTATTGCTGGGGTCGTCGATGTTCTGATTAGATCGTTGTGCATTGTTTTGTCATGCGGTTTGCCGCACTGGTCTAATGTTATAGGACAGTAATAAATCCAAGTCCATGCTATAACTACCAAGGCAAAGAAACGAAGACAGTGACCAGGGCACTGGGTACCACAGGCTGATAGCAAGGAGTCCAAACCTCAACTGCGCTTGACATCCCAGGTACACGTACTGATTCACTGCGTATATATCAAAAACGAGTGAATCTAGCTAGGCACGTAAAATTGTGTTGCCACACTTGCTCAAATAAGGGCTCTGGACGAATGCCTCCCCTTCGAAAGGTTTCATGCCACACCGTACATGTATTCAAAGAACTGAGTCGATTGCTGATCCTTACTCCAGGGCGCAAGCGCCTGCCTCACGATGGCTACCACTTACGATCAAAGAACATGTGGCATTCGACGCCAGAAGAGCCCAAGGCGAGGTTGAACAAAGACCATTTCTAACTATACACACACCATATTGCAGAGGTCATGAACGGCTGATTCGAGCGAACAATGAAAACATCCAGGATGTCAAAATATCCCTGCGACATATTTCACCGAGTCTTTGTTTCAGCCCTTGAACAATGCTAGCATCTCACATTCATCAAGTGCATCAATGTTAGATTGTTCCTGGGTCAATTCTCCTGGGTCCTGCTGTAAATCAGAAACAGTGTTCTGTTTCTTTCAAGAGGTGCCTCCCTCGAGTCTCGTTTCATCTCCATGATTCTTCCCATCAATCTATATAAGAGTGACGAGCCTGATTACTCGACAAATGACTGTATCTCCCAGCTCTTCGCAACATGGCTCTCTTTCGAATCGACCTTCTTTCGCTATGGCTTCTCCTATTCCGTCTCGCGACAGCCGCCACTCCAGTTCCAACCAAAGACGGCTTTTGTTTTAAATACCTTATCCAAGGTTATGATACCTGTGCCCTGATTGCCAAAGCACACGACATCACCGAAGCCGACATCGAAAGCTTCAATAAAAACACCTGGGCATGGCTCGGATGCGGACGGCTATATCAGGGCGACTTCATCTGTCTCAGCGCAGGGAAACCTCCAATGCCAATGGCCCTTCCTCATGCCACCTGTGGTCCACAAGTGCCCGGAACAACACGTCCAGCACACTGGGCCGATCTCGCCGGAATGAACCCATGTGTCGCGTCTCAGTGTGTGAGTATATCCCCATACCCCCCCCCGTCTTCTAGATCTAGTCCTATCAACCTAACAACCCAACAGTGTGCTTCCTGGGGCCAATGTGGTGCCACCGATCTATATTGCCAAAACTACCGTGCACCCCCTGCCGGTCCTACAGCCACCGTGAAAGGAGCGACAGAGGCTCCGAAATCCACAGCTTCTAGCAATGCAAAGGCAACCGGGGCCAAGCTATCCACCGATACCGGCACCGGTTCAAACCCGACCTCCAACCCCGATTCCAATCCAAATTCCATGCTCAGCTCTACCACCGTCAAGGCTACGAAAATCACTACCGCAACTAAGCAAGCTACCACTACAATCGCAAAAGCAGCCCCTGAACCAAGCGTATCTCAATACCCTTGGACGGCACCGTGGGAGATCACATTATACAGTCAATTGGGCTGCGAGGGCGATTACTACCATCTCGAGGGGTATAATAAGGAATTCCTCGATGACAAAGGCTGCTTGGCGCTCCATGGTGGTCTCAATAGCAAGTTCACCGAGACGGGCGTTACCTGTAAATGGTGGACGGACAATAGCTTCACATGGAGTAGTTGTGATGCGAGCAAGCTTGAGAAACCTCAATCCTGGATCCTCAAGAATGGGTATTGCTCGGCCTTCAGTAAGAAGGATTGTGATTGCTTTGATGGTGTGACTATGTATTATCAACCAAAAGGGTGTCATAATAGGACGGGGATTGATACGCCTAATTTTGCTGCTTTGCAGTGCTCGATCAACGGAGTCTAAAAGGGGCCTTGGAGGGTTGTGTATATCGTTTGGGGGGTAATGTTTCGATTTCTTTGATTGGTCTAATGAATGTCTAGTTCTTGGAGTTCGAGTGATGAGCGAAGTAGACATGTAGGCAAGACACATGGAACACTGCATAACAATTTATGCAGATTGCAGGAATTACAGAAAAACAGACCATACTAGAACCACGATAGAAGATGACACCATTGTATTCATTATAATAGAACTGATCAGAACACAAGTGAGATGAGATATCTATGCAGCCCACACATCCTTACCCGCCCCCTCAATCCAATGACCGAGCTGGTTGACACCGGCATCCCATTCCTTAAGACGGTTTCGCATGCCATCAATCTGCTTCATATCCAGAACCTTAGGCTGAACCCAGTGGATCTGTGCGACCTGAGCAACCTGATCAATAGATCCACGCAGCAAACCCAGCGACAAAGCCTTCATAACGAGATGCTCGATCTCATCGGGCTGCACCTTAGTCTCGGACGCGATAGCCTGGAAGGAGAGAGAGCGGTCATGAGGGGGACGGTGGAAGACCATCTCCGTCAGTGCCGAGAGCGAGATCTTCTGGTACAGGAATAGCCGGTGTGACTCCAGTAGCTTGTTCTTGCTGATGTTCCCAGCCAGCACGTCGTAAGCAGCCAGGTCGCCCCGGTTGAAGGCGAAGAGAAGCTCGCGGAGCCAGTTGTGCGGGGTCTGGGTCAGTGAGTCCAGAATCGGGTGCAGGAGGAGCTCTCCGAAGTTGTAGATCGTCTCGGATACCAGGGCCGCTACGCTGAGGTTGTATGCGCGCGATACGCGCTCAGTCTCGGTGAGTTCTTCCAGGTCGATGCAGGCAAGGTAGAGAAGGGCGTTTTTGTAGAAGGATGCAAATTCTTGCTTAGACTGTTCGAGTGAGGTGTTAGTTATGACGTGAGTGGCCGTGTCTGGCTAAATTCAGAATTCAGTGAATCACGTACGTGGTAGTAGTCCGCGTTTACTTTGTAGAATGATGCGTGCACAACGGTCTCGACCGAGTCGAACGTGTCTAGCACCCGCTGGCAGGTGGCCAGGTCTATCTGTGCTCCGTCCAGATCCTTCAGCGACAGCTTGACGTTAGCCACGTCAGCGAGCGCATAGACATATGCATCCTGTGTGTCGGCCGTATCCGTCTTGGTAGCGAGGGATGTGAGGAAAGCCAGTCGTTCTTGGTCATCTAGAGGGAGATTGTTAGTCTGTGTTCACGTAACGGAATGCTCATCATGATAGAAATTGGAGCTTCCAGACTAGATTGCGGGCCACCAACCTGTGCATTCTGTTGCTGCCATCAACCCTAGTGACACAAACTTGAGCTGGTTGACCCGGTCGGCGAAACTGAGCACGAAGGTCTTAAACAGGGCTAAGCGATGCGGAGCACTCTCTGGCATGCGGAAGAACTCGACCAACGAGTCTGTAAGCTGGTGCCATAGTTTGCGTTCCCAGTAATCTTCGAAGGTGAGGAAGTAGGGTTGTGTCTCTGGGCTTCCTTGTGCTTGCTGCTCGAGCAAGAAGTCGGGGATCTTGGACTCCATGGTGGAGATCTGGGAGCTGTTTAGGTTGGATTCTCTGACAGATGGCGAGATGCTGGATCAAGAGAGGAAGGTAGGTAAACTCGGACGAAATTGGAGATGTTGATGGTTGTCCGCACTGCAAGAGAGCTGATATGATGTCCTCACGTCGGCAGTTTGGGGAGCTCTCACTCACCGCCCTAGTTTCCACGGTCTTCGATGCTCTGCTGTTTCAATGACAATTCTCTGCTTTGATTTTGATCATGTTTAATGTTATGTAGCTATATGAGCAGGAGCCGAAGCCGATAAAAAGAGGTAGTAGTTGCAGATATGCTTCTTTGTTGGTCCTTTCTTCCACCGCTCGTACTATACAACAGATATACACTAGACACCGAATGGAACTTTGCCCGTGTAATGATCCTACGGGTTATTAGTTAGTTTCCCGAATATACCTCTGCTTTAATTCTTGCTCAAGCCCGTAGGGCTTGTAATTGATGATATATCCAATATAAAGAAGAACACCAAGCAGGTTTGATACGAATGAGAAGGCATATGTTGTTACCAGAGAAAAAAGGTTGGATTCAGAGGACAAGGCGGGTATCATGCTGGTTGTCGCATCGCAAACAAGGGTCAAGGAACGGTCCGATAGAGACAGATGACACCTTGGACGGTGAACTTTTGATGTCTTGCGAAACGAGCATCGAGATCCAATTGATTGCCAACCGAGATATGTAATACCACGAAATGACGCTGCTTAACCAATGAAGTAAATCTGACACTTGGAGGCGGCGACGGGTTGCAAAAACTCGGAAAAAGGTGACGGTACAAGCTCCAGTATATCGATTGCGACTGGTTGCTATTGGGGTCTTCAACAAGCAGCAGAAGGCCTCAATGACAGCTGAAAACATACAGAGACATTGGACAGGGCACAGGAGAACGCGAGAGACGGGAGTGAGGGAGAGGAGAAGACTACCTTTGATAGTCCTGGACAACCAAGCAGAATCACATGATTATGATCTCAACATGAGGCTCTAGCCTTGCATTTTTCGTTGTTCTAATTTTCAGTTGAGAAGTAGAAGCAAGGTGAGAGATCAATCTCTCATAATGGATGGGCAAAGGGGCTGTCATAACTTCTTGGACGTTGAACATAAGCACCTTGTAATCAGACCCAATGGGTCTAGCGTCGAAAAGATCCTTGCCCATGGCATTTAACCTTGACTAAACCAACGCCCAAGGATTGTCATAAGGGATTGAGGTGGCTGTATTGGTTCCAAGTGGCAGATTGGCATTGTGTGACTGAAACAGGTCACTCGGGAAGCCAGCCAGAGACAGCTTCTGCAGTTTCCGTCACGTCGTGGTTCGATGGAAGAGAATCAGTCTCGTTGCCCCTCTCAACACGAAGAGCAGTATTCGAATTGGACATGTACCAAGCCCAAGATCTAGTGCTGATTTGAAGTGGCAACTCGGCTTCGAGTGATACACATCGTTGGGATAGGACTAACAGAAGTCCCACCAGCTGTCCTGTTGAGTATCTATTACCCCGGTTGTGGGCTTTCCTTTTCATGGAACCCCTGTTGCAAGAGCAACCTTGATCTGTTGCTCCGATTCGAGCCAGAACAAAACATCTTGCTTCAATTTGGTCCTTGAATCAGCACATCCTGTCTGAAGAATGATGGCCGGCCACTTCAAATCTTTTCCAGGTGCGTCATGTAAGGTTCAAATTTGACTGGGGATCCAATAAATCCATAAGAGGCTGACCTTGTCGATGCGACTCTGGGATCGGTGAACAGACCGCCTTCAAGACCCGCAGATACTCCGAGAATTTGCGGAGAAGAGTGTTCGCCAGTACTAGAACAGGCAGAGCAAGGTTGATACACAAATGTACAAAGCAAGACCTACAGTCATCAAGTCATTAAACGCAAGCTGGATCGAGTGAACTGACGGCTTCCCTGCCTAGTACTAATTAGATCATCGACCTGCACCATTGGCAAAACAGTAATCATGCCGAGCACAAACCAGCACGCGGGTTAGCCACCAGGCCCCAAGGGATCTTGAAACCATACGAAACCGGAGAACTGGGTTGTGCAATCGAGCGACCTTCAAATAACCAACCCTCTTGTCATGCTGCTCTTGATGCTGTTAGATACGCCAACTACAGTGGAGCTGATACTACAAGACTGAAACACACGTAGAAGGAAGCCCCAGAGGGAAAAGGTATTTTGTATTTTTTGTAAAACCCCGACCACACCCCAGCTGGGAACATGGAATCATAGATGCTAACGAAAAGCGACACGCTTATGCGTCATCGACGGTGGTGGTGTGGAGACCCTTGGGGTCCTTGACGTTGACGGCCTGGACGTGGGAGTAGAGACGCTCCTTGGCGTTCTCCTCGTCGTTACGCTTGCGGGAGATGCGGACACGGAGACGGAAGGGAACACCCTTAATACCGGCTTCCCAGACCTTCTTGTTCAGCTGGGGGTCGACGCGGACATCCTTGGTACCCTGTTGGTGAGTGAAGCATATTAGTAAACAGATTCCCAAATAGGGTCAGGGGAGATGAGAGCGTCGCTCAAACTTACCATAGCCTGCTCGGCGAAGGCGCGGATCTCCTTGATGGCCTTAGGAGCACGCTTCTTGAAGCTGACGCCGTGGCACTATAATTCCGGAAAAGAAGTTGCAATCAGTCTTCCGCCCGAATGCCATCTGCTAGAGAAAACTCTGCGCGATGAATGTTTCTGGTCTTTCGGCCATAGTGGACTTCATAAAACTAATTCTTCTTGTGTTCCGGGTGCGGATATGTGTGGATGCGAGCGAAGACTTTTTCAAGACCTTCTCTCGGCTGTCTCTATCGCGAAGCAGACAAAAGACAAAAGTGCCATGTCCTACCTGCAGATTTCTCCACAGGTCATGGCGAGGATGGTGGTGAGATACAAAAGGGGATTGGTTTCCAATTCGACCCTCGACGCACACACACACACCAACCCCCACCACACACAATCTTTTCCGTAACAAATTCCGTTTTACAGGAAAAGTATCTTGTTCTCTGTCCATTATATGCCTCCAGAACTGAATCGGATTCGAATCGTCGCAGGTAGACTGGGAAAGGGTTTGTATTCAACATACTCGCTTGTGCAGGTTGATGGTGTACTCGCGAGACACCACATCGGCGATAGCCGAGCGCTTGTTGCCGGTCTTGACGTTGGACATCTCTGCGGAGAAAGTTAGAGGAGTGTTTCGAAGTGATGATGGAGGAGACTGACTGAAGGGGTGGTCGACGGTGGGCGGAAGTGATCGATTGTCAGAAGGAGACTTCGTGGTCGATTTTCGAGTGAAATTCAGTGTGGTCTCGCTTGCCTGTGCGGGGTCTGATTGGACCAAGTGGGGCTGCACTATAGCCAATGATGTTTCAGTGGTGGATATTGGTGCCTCAGGCAATGAGGACCTTGTTTAATCAGCAAATTTGATACTTGGGAGGAATTGATTTAGTGACGTTGTCGTGAATCTTCTAGCTGTTTAGACTCATGATCTATAGATAAATTTGATCTAGCTTCTAAGAGATATCCCTCCCCGTCTCCAAAATTTACCCACATTACTTCTGGCCTGCGCTCACATCGGGGTAAAGGTCAAATCGTCGCTGGGTGGAGATAGGAATTCCACTGCGGATATTTGCAATCGCATCGTGATGTAAATCAGCATAAATGATGGTCTCTTTCTCTCCGGCTTCGGAGAGAACAGTTGCGCTGGGGTCAGCGACCAAGCTGTGGCCATAGGCTTGATAGGAGGCGTCCAGATCACGCGCCGGGCTACAAAGTGCCACATATGACTGGTTATCAACAGCTCTGGCACGAGCAAGGAGTGACCAATGCAGAGGACCGGTCGTAGTGTTGAAGGCCGCCGGGTAGACAAGGAGGAAAGCTCCCTGGCGGGCGGCGATCATCGCTCCCTCCGGGAAACGAATATCGTAGCAGATGGCCAGAGCGATCTTCCCGTACTCCGGGAGATCGATGACTGTTAACTGGTTACCAGGTGAAAGTACGTCGCTCTCCTTGAACTTTATCTTGCCCGGAATATCGATGTCGAACAGATGTGTCTTGCGGTGAGTACCGATCAAGGCGCCCTTTGGCGAGAAGACCAACGAGGTATTGTAATACTTTTTGGTAGAGGGCTCCAGTTCAGGAATACTTCCACCGACAAGGTATGCATTTGCCTCCACGGCGATAGCCGATAGGGCGTGGAAGGAGGGTGATTGTTCAACCGTGGGGGGAGAGGGAAGGAGGGTCTCGGCGTATTTTGGGAAGAAATTTGTGCCATAGGGCGAGTTGAAGCATTCTGGAAGGACGATTAATCCTGCGCCAGCCTTTGCAGCTTCGAGAACTTTGCTCCGAGCATGAGAGAGGTTCACGGCCTTGTCCGCTCCTAGATGGCTCGGTTAGCTGCGGGGGGGAAAAAGGGCAATCTTAGAGATTCAAACCCGATGCAAGCTGAACAAGAGCCAATTTGAGGGGCTTTTTCAAGAGGGTAGCCATGGTTGGAGATATGAAGAAGAAGAGATGAGGGGGGGGAGGTGGGAGGGGGAATGATATCGGATCGATTACGAATTGCGGGGGATGGCCATTTCGCTGATAAGCAGCATCGCGACCATACTCAAATTGTTCATCCTGGAGATCTTTATCTTGAGTAGATTCTTACTTTTTTTTCGGTTTTTTTGGCTTTGAATAGCTGCGGTTCCCCCCGATCAGAGATTGGAAGATGACGTTATAGCTGCATGCTCTTGAACTCTTGAAATAGCTTACACCAAGTGGTATTATAGGCCTCTTTCCAAGACGCTTTACATACGATTCCTTTTAAATAGGCAATCAAGAACAAAATTGCGCCCCTTGTTACAGTGTAGCCCTGAAGCACCTATAGTTTGGATCTTTACAGACCGACTTTGCTGAGAAAGTACACCATACCCATGCCAAGCGCGCAAGCGCCCAACACATCCTGTGTTGGGCGCTTGGCACAACGACTATGATACATTACCTTTATTGAGGAAAAAACATAATCAGGTCAATCCAATGAGAGGCCGTGAATTCTCTCCGGATATAAAAAGGGGGCTTACACAGTAGCGAGGCCCACTGGGATGTCGTTCTACCAATAGAAGATGCGATGGTGGAGTCCTGCTTTTTAATTTCTTGTTCGGACACTTTCGACTCGAGTGCCTATTAACTGCTGTATCTTGCTAATTCGATCCGACTCAACAGTCTTATTTGTGTATAAGATATCATGGAGGACGGAGCCTCGACCCGTCACCCCAAAGCATGCATAACCTGTGCGAAGGCCAAAGTACGATGTTTCCCGGAAATCGATGGTCCTTGCAAACGGTGAGTATAGATGGTTTCATACTTGATCTCTCTATATGTTGATCTTTTTTTTTTAGCTGTCGACGTTTGGGCAAAGACTGTGGAATCCAACTACCCGGAGCTCATCGCCGTGAAAAAAAAACAGGCGCAAGTAGTTCGTAAGTGTTCACCAGTCCGACAGTTCCCTAAGAGACCCCTAACATTTAAGCTAGGGAGGTTGCTGCACTCGAGGAAAAATTAGACCGCATGGTCGCTTTGCTGGCTGCCTCGGAACAACATGTCCGAGAACGATTAGAAAGTGGCCAAGAAAGGAGATCATCATCTACGTTTGAACATAACATCGCTGCTCCTGATGAAGCTGAAGGCCAGCTGTTGATGGAAGTGTTCTTCCGGAAAATGTTCCCTCTCTTTCCCTTCCTCATGATTCCCCCGCACGTCACCGCAGAGGAACTGCGCCGAGAGAAAACATTCCTCTACCTGAATCTTTCAATGGTCGCATGCCAAAAAGCTCCACGCCAGCGAGAGATTGCGGATTTAGTCCAAGAATATGTCGCCGAGCACATCGTCATCAGAGGGGAACATAGTCTGGATCTGCTCCAGGGCCTTCTTATTAATGTGGCTTGGTTCGTTTCAGTCAGTCGTTATCCGCGACTGGCTGACCAACCCCCTCAAGGGCCCAAATCGGAAGAACCTCAACATTTGGTTCGAAGCACTGCCCAGCTTGATACAAATGTGCACTTACTCGTGGCGCAATCCTTTAGTATGGGCTTAAATCAAGAGATGGCTTACCAGAAAAGCTTGAACTATCCTTTGACTTATTTGAAAGATACTACGAACGAGGACCGTCATAATCCGGTTCGCACACTGGAAGAGCGACGCACTTATCTTGGGTGTTACTATCTCACCACCATGTATGTGTACCCTTCATACGTGGCTGAAACATAAGCTAATCTGTGAAAGGCTCTCGACATGTGTGAAAGACTTGGGGCCGATAATTCGCTTTACAAGATACACAGATGAATGTTGCAAAGTGCTAGACCAGATCGCAGAATATCCCACCGATGCCTTTTTGACACAGCTGGTGCGAGCGATGAACGTCGCAGAGAGGATCCACCAAACACTCTACAACACCGAGCTCCATTCTTCATCACTCTCATCAGCGCCTCCGCCCCTTGGACTAAGCATACGATGGCTTGAGGCTGAGCTTAAGCAACTCAAAGCTCGCATGCCGAGTGACTCACCCAATTCTCGTGAGTCGTACCATCGTGTTTTCGCGGATAATTTAAACCTGACAACAACGACAGCCGTTTTACAGCTTCACTACATCACACTCGAGATACATCTTTATCGAATTGCCCTTAGTAGCGAACCATCCAAGTCGAACTATGGCGATCATCCTCTAATGCAATTGGATCTCCTTTTCCGCTGCCTGGAAGCGACAACCTCCTTTTTCCAAAATATCCTCTCCCTCCCATCTGATATCTTTCCTTTCTTCCCTTTCAGCATCATGTGCCAATTCGGAAAAGCAATCGTCACTCTCTCACAGCTCTCTCTTTACGACCACCCCGGATGGGATCGAGCATACGTGGACAGCATCATCGACTTCGACCAGACCGTCGATCTTTTAGCTCGCAAGATGGAAGAAGAACGTCCCGCATTAGAACAGGCTCTTGGAAAAGATCCAAAGTCTACCGAGTCGCCGGAGATATTTGGAAGGATGAGAAACCGCGCGCAAATGATTAAAAAGATGCATCGGCAGAGAAAAGAGGCACTGGAACAAAAATCCCTGCTCACCACTGTGGCCCCGATGGATTATGACTTCATGATGGATTGTCCCCTCGATGTGTTGTTTCCTTTTGGTGAAATAATTCCACCGATATATGGGCAACACATGTAGTTGACAATCGGCCATGTCTAGGCCCACTACGGACCGAACGGAATCCGCCGAGATCTGGGCAATTTAGATCTACTTGTACATACTTTAATGTTATAATGATTTATTTCCAACGATTCCAATTGGTTCATCGCGAGCGACAAACACCTATTGCTCATAGGATCTTCCCGCGATGTGTCCGAGACCGGCAATTCCAGTCAATTTCTCTTCATGGATATCGACAAACCGCAGATTAAGTCCTTAAGTTACCACCAACGCGCCATCTCCACGATTTCAAAGTACACGATGTGAAGAGAGCCCCGGCTCGGAGTCTTGTCAGGAGAGCGGGTCGCGCAGATTCAACGTTCACAAGGCATTATAAACACATAATCGAATCAAAATTACAAGACCATTACCCCGACCATAGCAGCTATCACGGCCATGATACCGGCAATGTTGGAGGAAGGGGTAGTAGCAGCATTCAAAGTGGACGAGCTGGCCGCGGCAGCAGAAGGAGAAGCAGCGTTACCTCTGTTCGAGGTCGACGAGGTAGAAATCTTCAAAGAAGAAGTGACCACCGTAAGACCGGAGGGAGCATCCGTGATCATGCTATCGGCAGTTTGAGTGCCGGATGGGAAAGAAGAAGAAGAAGA